ATCATATACTATACGTATAGATAAATCTTCCTGGATTGATTGAAGAAAGAAACAAACAAACAAAGAAATAAAGAAATCAAATTCCAGCCTTTGATCTGACTTTCATTGAAACGGGAAGAGAACTAAAAAAAAACTCGTAGATTTTCTTATCGTCAAGTAAACGGACAGCTGGAAGGAAGTCTCCATCCGGGCTATCCGGGTCCTTCCTTGCAAAGCCGGGGTTTATCTCGTTGACAACAATGCTCAACGGAAAAACAGAGAGAAAGAGAGAAAGGGAAAGAGAAATAGAGAGAGAATGTATGCTCACGATGAGTCGTGTCGAAGTAAAATTTACTCTTTTCTTTTCTCTTTCTCTCTCTCTCTCTCTCTCTCTCTCTGTACGACTGTTAATGGACGTTACGCAATTCAGTTAGTCCGTTATCGAAGACAATTCTATCTCTCGTCCGGATATCAAGGCGTTATGACGATTATAAAAATACAATAGGTCTTCTTCTCCTTGTTCGAGAAATCTTACCTTGTTTCTTCTTTTTTATCTAAAAAAATTTTTGAAACGTATGACTCACTAAAAATACACACATATAAAGATATAAGACTTCTCTCAACGAATTCGTCGAGTATATGTGGTTTTGTTCGAACAAAGTAGAAAATTTTGGAAGGAAAAGAAAGTGTCGTTTGGCAAAACCCCTTCTCTAACGTGGATATGATATTCGACCTTCTTGATTAATCGGAGCAGAACCGGATAACGAGTAACTGTACTTTCACGTGATTCGATTATATCTGAAGGAACATTAATGAAAGACTCCGTGTTCGACCTGTGTTGTCTTTTATTGAATATTAAAAGTTGCGATAAAAGAATTTATATCTAGTTTTTATTTCGATTATTTTCCATGGAGCTAATGTCATCTATCAAATATTCTGTGTTTTTTATCTAATCTCGATTTATATTTCTTACGTACCACATAATTATTCTAATTTGTGTTATTTTTTGTTTCAGCGAACGACTGACAGTAACGGAGTGTCTTAAGCATGCATGGTTCGCCATGTTTGATGATCCAATGCCACCATTATCCTCTTCATTACCCCCGATGGAAGACTCCAGTTTAAAATCGAAGACGATCTCGCAGCCAGAAGAAGAAGAGAAAAAACAACAACACAACAATAAATCATCGACGGAAGAAACGAAAACGACGATCCCACCTTCGGCTCCAAAATGCTGCGAAACCGAGAGCGCACATATGCGAACATCGAACCTTGCCAATCAAAATGAAGTAAAAACGATGACCACCCGAGCTGTCTCTTCACACACAGAAAATATTTATTCAACTTCTAAATCTAGCCCTAAGCCTATGAGGTTCGGTTTGAGTCCTGACCGTAGGGACACTTTTAAACGTAATATGGAATCGCTGGCTCAAAAATTTTCGAGCACGGAGATCGTCATTATTGAATCATCCTGCGCGAACAGTAAAAACATAACGACATCCTCGACGACGATAACGACGAGTTCAACAATTATGTCCGGAAACGTAAGCACGCAGAGAAGAGCGACGGCTACTCACACGATGCCAGCCGGTGAAGTATTCAAATGTACGCCGGTATTCATTCTTGGCGAGGAACAACAATGTAGCGACGGTGGTAGCGACACCGTATCGGAAATTTCGACGGACAGTTCGAGCGATCGGAGTAGCATTTATTCCGACGACTCGTTGGATTTTATTCTCTATGGGAAAACTCAGGGAGGTGGTAGGGCGAGTTTTCCCTTCGCAGTTGGTGCCGACCCTACGTCCGACAGATGGGAACAGAAACACCACCATCACCACAATCCACGAGCCTGGCCTAGGGAATGCAATGGTGTTGTTAGCAAAGCACTCAGTCGTTTCACATCCGAGACGTCAAACAAGTCCTCAAAGTTGTCCACGACGGTACCACCGGTAGTTCGTGGTAAGACCAGCTTGGAAGCTCTCAGGGAGAGGGGTGGCAATCTGGTCGTCATAAGGGAACCCGTCAGAGCGGGTAGATATACGAGGTACAGCGAGGTTCAGTGCGAATCAGTGCAGGCACGGATTCGACGTTTCCAAGTACATGGAGCGTCCTAAAAAAAATCTTCCTCGGTATCTTTAAAGGGAACACTTGGAAGGCGTCTATACTTGATGGTCATCGCCGTTACATTTTCGGATAATGATCCGTGATAGAGACTGATGCTTTTCTTTGTACATAGATGACGTTAATCGTGTACAGTTAGGGTCGACCATGCCTCTTTGCAAAAGAGTTAGATAGATAGATAGAGAGAGAGAGAGAGAGAGAGGAGAGAGAGAAAGAGAGAGAAAGAGAATGTTATGTGATAGCGAGATGAAAAAGAGGGCAAAGGAGAGAAGAGGTATGATGGAAAAACATGTATTAATGCGAACAAATGGCTGTTGTATATATATAAGTGAGATGTATTAGGTGCGTATGATGACATGCATGTCGTTTTGTTCTCTCATATTTTTTTCTTTTTTCTCCTTTTTTTTTCCTTTTTTTTCCTTTTTTCTCTTTTTTTTCTTCTTCCTCTTCAAGTATTATTACCAGGAGGTGATCTACACATTTTCGGTGGTACATCATGTATACGTAGATACACACAATGCGTATGGTCGAGATAAAAGAACGTTGTACGGCAGAGATAACGAGGCTTTTACGGCATGATGTAAATAATAGGAAGGAGAAAAGATAAGAGGATGTAAAGTTAGATATAAAGGAAGGGAGTATGTATAGGGATACGCAGACAACTCGTTATCTGCCGTTTTGAAAAGAAAAGGGACAAACTTTCGTGGCGAAAAAAAAGAGTGCTTTACGAGCATCGATTTAAAAATACGAAAACAGTGCTGTCCTTCGAATTTTCATTCGTTAATGATCAGCTTGTAGTGACAACAAGCATATTGAATATGTCACCGATGTGGTTGTGTTGTGTAATATATATATATATAAGAAAAAAGTGTTCAGCGTCTTCTTCGACAAATCTTACGTACGTCGTCGTAGCTCTATTTCAGTAACTTTGGTGCCTTCGTAATAAGCGTTTATAAGAGAAGACAAACTCGCATATGTATGATTTATGTACATACATACATACATTCATTCGCATGTATATATATATATATATATATATATATATATATATATATATATATAAATACACAAACGATTGTAGTACCTACTCCTTCGCGTAAGTTTGCCCCATATGGCGCAAATACGAATATACAAATATAACAAGAGTCACGAGCGAGAAAAAACTTTACTCGTTTGGACAGTGCCTTAATCGCGCGCAAGAAAAAAAAACCTTTTTTACAGGGTAGCTCGTCGATCGTGCGAAATTGAGACAAACTTTTAAACGTCTCTAATTATTGTCTTTCCTTGACGTCGAAAGAAAGGAAGAGGAATTTTTAAACAATAATTAAAAATAGAAAAGAAAAGAAAAAAGAAAGTAAGAAAAAGAAAGAGAAAAAAATAAAGAAAAAAGAAAGATGATTTTTGAATCGAAAATTTCAAAGAAATAAATCAATTATTATTCGTTGTTAATATTTTAAAAAAGTTAATTAGAATGTTTGAAATATATATTTAATTTTTTTCTCTCTCAATGCCATCTCCTCTTTCGATATTGCTAATAACAAAACTGCCTAATCGACGATCCAAGATTATAGATATCAAGGTTCGATCGTTGATCATGTGCATCTGGATAAAATGTGGATATAAAAAAAAAATATTAAATAAATTACTTTCGCTGATGAACCAGAGAGAATATTCGACGGATTTCAAAATTAAACGACGAGGAGTACTACAGAAACGACTAGTTCGTATTCGCGTCTCACGTTCAGCGTACGAATGAATTATATACAAGATATGCCCAAGATGGTGGGTGGTTTTCTTTTTTCTTTTTTTTCCCTTTTTTTTCTTCTTTTTTTAAATGAAACATCGATCTTATATCTATCCACGTTTAGCGACTAAACTTGAGATACGAATGCGGATCGAAATCTCTTGCGTTGGAGAGGATGTATCGTTGGTATTGTAATATTTTCTAAGACGTATATATATTATGTAAATTTCTTGTGGTAAGATCGCGAAGGATCATGAAGAAAGCGGAGTGACCAATGGGGGAATACAAAAAATGAAAGGAGGAATTAAAAAATATTAATTAAAAATAAAAAAGAAAAAAATGTAGGTCGCTCATGGAGACCAAATCTTCTGCGATTTTGAGGTAGAAGTCCCTCGTTACTCCGTTAAATACTAGTCATATATTAAAAGAAGAAAAAAAAGAAAAAATATCAATAACAAAAAAAAGAAAGGAAAGAAAAGATTGTCATTCGTTTTCTTTCGATCCTCGTATCTCGCTCTGTTATCGTTCTCCGGGCACACGGTCGTTGACGAGGAGCCAACGAACGGTCGGTGTCCTCTCCGATTTTCTTTCTGGAGGTTCACAATTGGAGAACGCGAATAGTGCCTGATGTGTCTCTGAAAAGAAAACGAACGAACGAACGAACGAACGATCGTATTAGTCGAAATGACAAGGCTTCTTCGTAATGAACGTTTTTTCATCATCGATGATCGACGTAAGACCTTGTCACTTCTCCGTGTCGATATATATATATATATATATATATATATATATATATATATATATATATTGTGTGTCTAATTTGATAATTTCATTTTGTCGAAATACATGTTCGATTAATTCAGATAATTTGAAAGAAAAAATTTTTATATAAATTGTTGCGAAGAAATCGCAATATCCTTTTGCTCTATTGATCCAACGACTAGATCGAAAAATATCCTTATTACCATCGTTTTGTCTCATATGAGGACAAGACTTTAAAACGCCCAACGTCAGGAGAGAGAGAGAGAGAGAGAGAGAGAGAGAGAGAGAGAGAGAGAGAGAGAGAGAGAGAGAGAGAGAGAGAGAGAGAGAGAGAGAGAGAGAGAGAGAGAGAGAGAGAGAGAGAGAGAGAGAGAGAGAGAGAGAGAGAATAGTGTTCAAGTGCAAAAAAAATATCTAATATTTAAACGAATATATTATAATATTAAAGCAAAACAAATAAAAAGAAACAAAAAAGAAGAAAAAAGAACGAAATATAACGCACAACATGAAATAGATACATCATGAATTGTCGTTGCACGCACACGGTCGTTACGAGAGAAGTGACGCTTTTTACGCGTAAAATATAGTTTATCCTTTTCCGAACGCGAATGATTGTGTAGTCCCATTTCTTGTATGTTTATTTGAGTGTATGAAAGATTAATGCGTATGTTTGTTTGCCTTCTTTTTCTCTTTATGATCTGGTAAAAAAAAAGGATAAACTTCTGTAATATAATTTTGCTATTACGGAAATAGGGGTAGGGCTTGCGTTCGAACAAGTCGAATTCCTTCTTTCTCGAGGCTAATTTTCGTCGTTATTTATTTTTTTCTTATATGATAAGGAAAACAGGTGTCGTATTTAATTACTATTCGAATGTTCTCTTTTTTTTAGTATTAATTTTGTACCATTACGTATCGTTTGTAGAAAAGCCTCGCGAAAGACGAGTTTGCATTTCTTTTTTTTCTTTTTCTTTTTCTCTCTTTTCTTTTTCTCTGTTACGTGAACGCGCCTTATCCTTTGCCCGAACTTATTCTATTAATATTATTATTATTATTATTATGTTATTATATTATTATTATTATATTATTATTACTATTATTTTATTATTATTATTATTATTATTATTATTATTATTATTATTATTATTATTTTATTATTATTAATATTGAAGTTTATTCTGATGGAAAACACGTTCGTGTACCTAGAACTTACGACATCCTGTAAATATTGCTATCATTGTATTTTCTTTAATAACGTACGAAATAAACGCTATAAAATACGAGAAACGGCTGATATTTCCTTTCTCTTTCTCTTATTTTTCAGTACATTCCGTATCCTGGTAGTATTTTCAGAGACTGCAAAGAAAAAAATCATGAATCCTTGGATGGGTAGTCGAGATACGAGCACGACATGCGGATTCCTATTTGAAAATATTTTTTCCTTAATTTACTTTTTTCTTGAGAAAGAAAAAAAAGCTGCCTTAGAGAGAATTTACTCGTCATTCGCGTGAAAGAATAGATAAAAGAGTCGTCTATAGATAAACTGAATCTAGTCGATGTAGAATATCATTGGCGCTTTCCGTTTCAAATGAGTTAACTTTAGTTAACTTTCTATTTAACTTTAGTTAGATCCTCATACATTCGAATGTTTCTCTATCTTTTTTCCGTAGGAGCAATTTTCAATTTCACTCATTACTCGTGACTCGAATTATTCCAAGATGTGTATATTTATTTTATGCTTATTACGCTTAAACATTCAATGGCGTCCAGTAAACTTGGTAAATAAGAAAAAGTGAAAAAAAATTAAAGGACCGCTCGCAATGGTTCCGGACATTAATATGATAAATAATTCAAAAGCCTTCTTCGCATTTATTATCAACGCCAGGAAGAGAGATGAAACGTATTATAATATAACTAAAGAATATTTATCGTCGCTTGAAATGGTACAAATCGTTTTACTATGCGATCACGTCATATTGTTAGAATAGAAACGTTGGAATCTTTCATCTCTCTTTTATCGAATAACATCGCACCGATAAGAAAAACGAAGAGAAAATGATAGAAATTGTCAGAGAGGAGGATTAGATCATGTTATTCTAGCACGCTTGTGTTTAACGATCCGAGCTCCTCCGTGCCGCCGATTTAGCTTGCCATTTAAAACGATAATGATAGTACGCACCATCGACTATAATCGCTATGTTACTACCTTCGTTCGAACGGGACGATACGAGACAGACAATCCCGTTTAAAGTGTGCCCACCTTGAAGGCTTACCCACGCTTCGTCACACTTGAATATTCAAGAATTTGTTGTTGAAATTAATAACACACAAACACTATTTCTTTCTCAATGAATTAACTATATTATTCCGATTATTCATAGGATCGATTTTATTATTATTAGCAAACACGGCTGCTCTCTTCATGGATTTTAATCTTTTCTTCTGTATCTTTTGTAAAAACTAACACAAAAGTATTTGCGGTGGCATTGAACGAAAGATGGACATGATAAATTCAACGACGAAAGTAGTACGAAATAGTAATGGCATCGTATATTCTCCCTTGTAATTAATTAAAAGTCGGCCTGTCGCTTTTGTATTTCTGTCTGGCCGTCCGTCTGTTTGTCCCTCCTCGTGTTTTCTTTCTTTTTCACTCACTTTTTTGCTACTCTCCCATTTTTTTCTTTTTTTGCACAAAGAACTCACGCCGACAATTCGCGCCCCAGACTTTACGCACTAATTAACGAATTATCATTGGAAAGTTATGGATACGTCAGAGTGGTAGCCGCTTTATTTGGTCGTGCCAGGTGCCACGTTCTACCGTTCCTAGTGTTGATTTAGCAATTTCTAGGCGCCATGGATAAACGAATGGACGTTAGCCGCCCTCGGCAGTTTCCATTATCGGTTGAAGTGAGATCGGCGGCAGTGCTAAAAGAATATCCGTAAAGGTTCTTCTGTATTTCATTGCAAACTCGAACTTTGCCCAGCTTTAAGATACGACACGACGATAAATTATAAATCTATTACTCTTTCCGTTCCTTCTCCTTTTAATACCACAAAAAAAAATATATATAAGAATATCCTACATCTTGATTTATTAGATTCGCTATCATGTAATCACTCGTTTAAACGAATGGAAGTATCTTTTAAAGTGTAATTTATATTGTAAGAGAAAGTTCGATGTTCATTTAACACGTACTTTTTCATTTCAACTTGCATCAAAATTCGGTCCTGACATGTACGATGTCATTTAATACTCATTCGAATGACGTAGGCAAACATCCGTTAAAGAACACAAATTTTAAAGACATCCATCCAATTCTTTATTCTCGAAACGCACGAATCGTAAAGACGAAATCTTTACGAGGATCTCTCGAGGTCGGGACGATTCAGTCAATGCCATTACGATGATCTCGAGATCGTTAAAAGAGAAGTTTTAAAGAAATCAAGATGCATTAGAATCGAGACGTCGTAAATAAAAAAGAAAAAAAGAAATAAAAAGAAAAAAAAAGGAAATAAAAAAAGAATAAAAAACTGTTACTATACGTATAATGAAAATTTACAAAGTTATCGATGATCGACTAGGCAAAACACATTAATCGTTAGTACCCGTGTATGGTCTACGTAAGCCGGTTATTAGATGTTAGTCGTTTCGTTCCTATTGTGTCTAATTCTTAGATCGTAAATCGTAAGGAAGCTAGCACGTGCAAACCGTGCCGCGCCGTCTCAGCAAACAGTGCGCACATCATGCCGATCCTTTATGGTAGTTGCTAATTTGCATTCTCAGTGGCAGCAGCAGCAGCGGCAGCGGCAACAACAGCAACAGCAGCAACAGCAACAGCAACAGCAACAACGGCAACAGAACACCGAGAGCACCACCGAGCAGTTCATGTCGCCTTCCTTCTGTAAATAATGCCTCGTTTGCGGATCTAACAAGTTCGGAGCTGCATTTGCACATAGTAAATTCCACGGATAACTACCGTGCCTCTCCTATGCGACGAATTTATCTATTAGCATTGCTTTTCTTCCTTTTTGTTTTCTCTATTTATAAGCTTTTATATTTATCTATTATATATCCTTGAGATATTTAAGTTTTCCTTAAAGATATACCGATCAATAATAAGTAGGAAAAAATTGATCAGTCCATCCTCGATTGTGTCTGTGATATTAATAAAATTGATAAATTTGTTAATAAGCGGAATTTTATGAAAAATCGGTTTGACTTATGAAAATATTCATTCAAGTTGATCATTTAGAAACTCAGATGATCGTTGTTATTATATCTCGACTAATTATTAGTATCGATTTTGTGTTCGAACATCTCGAACCTTTTACGACATCTATAAACGATTTAATTTTCTTAATTAATAATTCATGATTCTTTTCTTTGACAAGAGAGAATAACGAGTTTATCTGACATGATTATCTTGTCAAAAGGCTCGATTATTTCTTTTTAGAACTATTATGTTACTCGCAATTTAAACGTATGGAGAAGAGATGAGGATTTTCGAATTTGTCGACGGACATATTTAGAAATCGCCCACTTTCACGACTGTTGGTCTTGAATAGAGAAGGCGATGACA